GCATTTCTGTCTGAAACTTGAAAGAATTAGCTCTACCAACTTCTTTCAAGATTTGGTACTAGTGATCAATTTAAAATTAGGCTAGAGTTAAACTAATTTAAGCCTAATTTTCCTCTCCTCTGCTGGATCTTAGTAACAGTATTCTGAGTGTGCCAGGTTAATTTACTTTACAGCACTGATAACTCATTGCTAATCTTTAGTGTTTTGATCTACGAGAAAACAACTTATTTAACAGTTACATCATTGTTACAAACAGAATAGTAATTACTGCACCAGAAGATCCAGTTAATAAGTAGGCATGCCTCAGACAGTCACTGATGATAGATCTAAGGCAAACTAATCCTAACCTCTGCTGAAGAAAGACATTCACAAACCTTTACCTCTGAAACATAAGTTGTTAGTTTCTGACTTCCTCTAAGGAGAAGCATGGGTTATTGCTTAAGCCAAAGAGATCTGTATCAGAAAGCCATTACATTATGCCTTGCTAATGTTCTGCAGATGGTACACCTGGGGTGTAAAAGCATCATTAACACCATCAGGGCCTAAGATAGGCAAATGATGACAATAAAGTTAACTTACCTTTGGCAGTACATCTTCTTACAGGTACATATAAATTATGGGTAATTTAAAATACTTTTCAATACCGTTTTTGTTTATGGGTTACTACTGTTTAATTGAAATGGAAAGACTGCATTTGTCGTTTGCAATATCAGTTTCAAATACATATCTCAACCTAAATGTTGGGAAGCTGACATATTTATTTACAGTACTCTAAGTGCTATGACCAATATGCTTACAAATATGCTACATGATGAATAATGGTAGGGAAATGTTGATGCTTATGAAGTTCATAACAAATAGCTTGTGCAAAATAAGAATGGCTTGACCAGCTGCCTAAGAAAAAAAGAAAAGGTTTGTGAGTTTTCAACTGAAAATAATGCTTATGTTCACTAGACTGGCAAACTGCTCTCTTCAAGTAACATGGCAACCAGTAACACAGTGTCTATATTTAACCACAGCAGAAACCCCAGGTTTCATTAGACCGTTGCAAACACATTTTTGCACCCAGCCAAAGATCTTTCCATCTTTCCTACCCCTTTACCACCACTGAAGAGCAGCCAGAGCAGGGCAATGACAGAGCCCTTCTTTGAGGGGTGGCTCCACTTTCCAGAATTTACAGGAGGGGAGGGAGGCAGTGCTGTGCCCACTCAGGGCTCTCGTGCCCCTTGAGCTGGCCAGCACCAAGGCAACAGTTGAGGTGACATTGGGCAGCTCCCAGGAGTGGACATTACCTGGAGCTGCTCCATAAAATCCCACCGTAAGGCTCTCCAAACAAGGGATTTTTGTAAGATATTTCCTTGTCCTGTATCAAAATTCACTTTTTCCAGGCAGCTGCTATGAGCCTGTAAGTGACTGTGTATGAAGAAATTTAAAAATATAACCAACCTAAAACCCCATAAGAAAGCAACATTTTTGCTGTGGACCCTCAGGGTTCTCCTTCCCAGTGAGGAGCTGAAGTTACTCCAGTCTTAGAAGAGGAAATAATATGCTGTTGGCTGTGGACTTTGTCATGCAGGTTATCACTAGATGGAAAGTTCTGAACTGTTTCAACCAGGTGGACAAACAGGCTAGGAGATCAAATATGCCTGTTGCTTCTGCATTTACCTAAGAGAATTGCAAGACTGTACTTCCCAGTGTATATGAGGATTTAGATAACTTACCCCATTCATGGCATCAGATACCACTTCATCCTGCTCTCTGACATATAAGTCTTTACTTCTAACAGCAGTCACATACTTGTACACTTCAAACTTTCAAGCTTTTTTCCTCATTATGTTTCTATTTGTTGTGTTTTCAACTGAGCTATTTCCTCACTGCGCCTTACCAAACTGCATCTAGATGAAAGCTGCTCATTCTGGACATTCAGATCCCCAGGATCTCATGCATTTACTTTTTTGTTTGGGTGAAAAAGAACAATCTTAACTTTCTCCCACTACTATATTCAATTAAGATTTTACAATTAAACGTACTAGTTTCAACAAAGTTTAATCCAGCAGAGCACAATGGCATTGCTGCATTGTAACAGTCCTGTAAGAAAGAGGCTATTATTAGAATAGTTCCTCGTCTCTATGTTCAGTATTTCAGATTGCTACCCACCTTTATTTGGACACATTGTCTCATTGCTGTCTAGTTATTATTACAGGAAACCAGATACTTCAGGGATTTACCGGTCATCTAATCAAGTGTCAGATTTCTTCAGAGCTAACAGTGGTTAAGTGCCAGCAGTATCCATCCACTTCACTTCTAACAACATTCAAAATATGTCTTTTATAATGAAAAGACATGTTTTGCAGACCAGCTGAGGAAATGGATGACATTTCTCTCTTTTGTTTTGGTAGAGTTTTTCTACTCTGTATTACCCTTGTTTCAAAATCCTCTTCAAATTACCAGATTGCCATCTGGTTTGCCACAGTTTTATATCAGTGCCACATAGAACACTTCCAAACATGCATTTTAAAGGTGCAGAAAAATTACCAGGGATCTCAACTTTTCACCTTCATCCAGATCCAACAAAAATTTACGGTTTGATTACCTTTGAGCAGCAGTGCCTGGACCCAGCGTCCAGAGTAGAAACTGAAAGTAATGAGCTGAGTACTGAGGAACCTTATCCAATGCCTGTAAAATATTCTATGTTCTCTGAGACAGTCTTGTATCAAAAATGTCACAGCTGAAGGATGTAAAGAATGGAATCAATGTTAACTGTCTCTGCTGGTTCAAATACGCAAATAAAGTTCTTCCAACGGTCTTTATATATAAATCAGGTATTATTGTCTGCATCACTTGAATACTAGGTCAAATAAGGTACAATTTGTCTTTCTGCAGTCAATGTAAACCCTGAATAATCAAAGTACTGTTTTGTATCTGCTCAAAAGAGGTGGTCTGTGTTGTCCTATTTACTCCAGAACATATCTGTACTGTCAAGTAAATGTGTAATCATTGATTAGACATTGGTATCAGTGAAGTCTGGGGAGACTCCTGGATCTAATCCATAAGACACATTCAGATAATACTCAGAATTATCTGAAAATCTCACTCCTTTTTGTTGGACAACACAGCTTGGCTTTATCCTACTTGAAGCAACAAATTAGGTAGTAAGGAATCTTGACTGGTATCTCTAGGCCTACTGTATAGTCAGTGGAGGAAGACAGGCAGAGGGCAGATCACATCTCAGGACTGGATCAGTGTTTGGAGACACTCTTCCACCTCCCAAAATTGAAGAGAAATTGTCAGGTGTACATATAACTTTGGCCCCATTTTTTAAGTGCCTACAGTTAAATGCAATTATTTCAGGCCCTGAAGTCTGTTCATTCTGAATTCCCACATGCTTCTATGTAGCTGCCTACCCTGAAATATAATTACTTATAATTGATGAGTCTCCTTGTATTATTTTTAAAGAAATACCAAAATTTTCTTCCCATAATTATTTGGCCATTTTACACAGGCTAAAAGATAACTGGGAAACTAAAAACATACCAAAAATTCACCTGCAGGCAGGATTTATGTTAATGATGTAACAACATGTTGCAGCTTACTTATTTTATTTTTCCAGTATTTATATACGTACAGTAGCTCTACAAGCCACAATGATATAACTTCCTTTGAAGACACAGAATATGACAAACCCTTGTGCAGTTAACTCACCTATTAAACTGATGTTCTATTTATGGAATAATACAGCCCATTCTCTAGCAATATGTGGTCATGTAAAAAAAAGACCCTATCACACAGACGCAGGAGGAGACAGAGTAAGGTTGCTATGGGAACCTTAGCTCTAAATGGTCTGGCTTTTGTTGGCTTAAAATCTCAAACATTGTGTTGCATTAATTATGTTTTGGTGGAGCTTCTTTGCACTGAGTATGAAATTTGTTTTGCACGCTGTTTCAGTCTTACATGTACATATGCAACATTTTTAAAAACAGAATTACATGTGTTAACTAACATATGAGAGAAGAATGTGTTTTATTATCAAACTGTGTCATGGCATTGAGGAAAATATCCTCAAGAAATAAGGGCAAGATTTTCTTTTTACTTATCTAGCTAAATCTCAAATAACACTATCCTCCATTATTGAATATGGATCATGGATCCTAACAAACTAATATAGCAGAAGCAGCAGTGGGAGGCAACCACAACAAAAGGCAAGAATGAGGTGGCAATTGTGGGACAAAAAGGATTGGAGAAGTCTCTGTTGGAAGTATGGGAGGGATTTTGGTATCGAGAGATTAGCTGGAAAGAAGCTGAAAACAGAAACTGAATGAAAGGAAAGAGCCAGAGGAAAGGATTTTAGGGGAGACTGAGGGAAGGGAAGAATGAGCAATGACAGAAGTTGAAGGATTGCATTTAGTGCAGAAGCCACAGGGAGGAAAGTGGATAAAGAGATTCTGAAAACAAGGTTGAGTCTGTCTGTTGAGGAGGAGAAAATGGTAGCTGACAGGGGCTGTAAAATAAACTAATTAGCATAGTAATATAACTCAAAATACCCTCAAATTATGAAACTATTGTTAATCAGTCCTACAAATGAAACTAGATAGCATATATATTGTTCCAAGGCATCTTAAAATCTTCTGCTGTATGAAAACAAGAAAATTTAATGCATTCTACAAACTAGAAACATTCTACAACACTGAATTTCTTCACAGGACATTTCAAGTGTCATGATGATGATTTCAACGACAATTTTCCTCTTGTAAAACTAGTTGTGGGTCATGAATAAGATTTAGTTTTCTTTTCTTTAAATTACATTATCTATTCTTAAGAAGATTATATTTAACTTGCTGAATTTTCCCTAGAATGATGACAATCTTTATTCATCTTTATGGGTGGTACAGAGTCTGGAATTTTTATGATGAAAACTGATACAGCACTTTAAAACTTTTCTATGCTGAAAACCAATACATTTAATTTCTATACTACCAGGCAACAAACAGGACAGACATTAATAATAGGTCAGCTCCACTTTAATGTTCTCATATGGTAACCATAATTTAAACAGTCTGTTAAAAGTTTCACATTGTTTTAGGAACCATAGACCCTAGGTCAAAGTACAGATATCTTCAAACTGATTGAAACAGTTTAGTTTTTCTATCTTTATTTTATTTGAAGATAAAGAAAACAGTGCTTGTGATCTAGATTATTTACATACAAATTTACAGAGTTCCATGTATTCAAGTAAGCAAATTTAATCACAAGTTACAAGGTTTTCTCAAAAAGAAATAGAGATTAATGTCTTCATAATATTAAAAGGAACATTATCTTTCTTCTGAGAACTAAACTGTCTGAGTAATATGCTTACATATGTTCACAATATGCTTGCAAGCTGATGTGAACCTCAGGCTCCTCGAAAATACAAATAACTACTCGAGCGGCTCTCAAGCATTTTTAGCGTCAAATGGACCAAACACAGCATAAACCACTCCTGTAAAAGTCTGCAGGCCAGTCACATAACAGTTATGCTTGTAATTGTTAAGTTCCCCTTAGCTTTTGATGAAACCAACAGCAGTACTACTGATATTTTACTGTGAAGGACTGTGTTGTTATAGGGGGCTCCAATAATTTGTGACACTGGTAGCACCCACTCCCTGGCCCCAGCTATCTCTTAGCTTCTTGGCCTCCGACTTTTAACAGCTACATCTGCTTGAAGAAGAACAGGACCTAATGGTATCCATTAGGAATAACACACCAAGAGTAACCAGATTCATCTTGTTTTTATACAGACAGCTAATGATAAGAATTAAGCATGCCTGGAATGAATCAAAGACAGACACTTAATGACCGACATTGTCATTTATCAAAGAGCATAAAAACTTGGGGAATCTTTAAAGTTAAAACAAATGCTTGTGATAGGCCACTTTACAAATTGGTACAGCTTGTTAACAAATACCACAGATCTCAAAAGTCACTGTGAGTTAGAACATCCTCTCCCACTAAGATGTCCTTATACAGTATAACTTTGGGCACACAAAGGTAACTCTTAATTTAACCTCCTCTGTCTCAGGGCTCGTACTGCTTTACGTCAAAAAAAGTTCTCTACAGACTGCATCCGAGCCACACTCTACACCATGAACACTTCTTGTATCTTACTTCATAGGGGCTAATTGAAATATAATTCTGGAGAAAACTTCATCTTGTCTGAGACTTCTAAGCACACCTTCTGCTATCTGATAATGCATATATAACAGCATTTCATGTGGACTGGCGCTGTTAGGATATAACTTCATTAAAGAATATAAATTACATCTTCAAAAATAGCAGTGGACATCCACATCCTTCTAACAGTGGGAAATAATGTCTCAGAAGGCCATTCTCATCTTGAGGAGAAACACTGAGAAGATCAAAGCACTCTGGACTTCTACACAGATGTGAATGTCTTCTTACAGATCTCTGGGACTTGTATTCCAGTCTCCTGAGAATCACTGAAAAGCTCTGATGTCTTGCTACAGCTCTGTCAATCTTCTTTGGAATAGCTGGCATGTAGGATCAATAGGGAGAGAAAGCAGGTGATACTGACTCAGGTAAGAGATTAATTGTTGTGTATGACTTCTTAAAACTGAACCAGGAAAAATGCTGGAAAAATGCACTTTCAGTGTCCTTCCCTGACAGTCTGAGAGAGGCACTTGATCCTACCCAGGCTTATCCTACACAGGTTTATCCTAGCTGTAATTCTATTATTTTCACTGTCACAACACAAGTACTGCAAACACCTAACATGGGGTTAAGGATAGGATTAGAATTAAGAGAAATTACTTAAACCAGCAAGATGATATGCAGCAAAGAAACGTAGAAAATCAGACATTTTAGATGGAGAAATCAAATGAAGTAATACAAATTGAGATATAGCTGCTAGGGAAAAATGTTACAGAAAAAGATGGATGATTTATACTAGATAACAGATTGACCATGATCTGTGGTCTTGTTGAAAAATATTTTAGGATATATTGAAGGAATTGCAGTATGTCAGAAGTAGGAGACAGTCATTCCACTGTATTCAGTTTTGGAGAGAGCTACATTAATACTGCATTCTGTTTCAAATGCCCCACCTTTAAATACAGACAAGTTAAAGAGACTCCAGGAATAAATGAAAGAAGGCTGAAGGACCTGTAGAAAAGGCTGAGATACACAACAGCGACCTCACAGTATAGAGAGGTTACTAAAAAGTGCACAGTGAATTCTAACTGAAGAAGATAGCTATTTCTAGTAAAGATTTAGATTAATATGGACATTCCCCACTCCCCCTGTTCTAGAGTATACTACCTGTGGAGACTGAAGAGCAATCTTAAACTGAGACTTTTAAGGGCATATACTATTGACATTTTAAGTCATAAATCCAGGCAGAAGGATACATGAAATTATCCCTTTACCTCTTTCAAATCCTGTATTATCTACCTGCAGTATGGTTATTGTTATATATGCTTTAACTGGCTCTACTTCCCACATGAGACAGAGCCAGTACAGTACTTAACCAATACAGTGCACTGACAGAAGTACATCCATCCTCCCAGCCCAGACCTCTGAACTCCTATATACATTAAGAAAGAAGTTTCAGAAGTCCTTCTGATTAGAAGAGGAATTTACAAGGAACAAACTCGGTGTCTTCATCAGCAGCATGAGCAGTAAGGGAGTAAGTCATCCAAACTGGGAACAGGGAGGATGCTGTGATTTTTTTCACCTCTGCTTTCATTATAATTGCTATGACTGCATGGCTCATATTCATAGGTACAGAAATTTCACCGTTTTCTGTGCTTTGGAATGTATTTTTGCTTATATGTGTACAGGATAATATTTGCCATTTTACAGCCCTTGGTGTAGTTTGTTTTAGAAACATGATTCTAATATATACAAAACTATCCCACATGAATAATATAAACAACTTTTCAAAAAATATTGCCTTAATTGCTTTGAATCATAAGTATTCTTAAAGCTCTAGACATATAGGCAGCTAATGAAACAGGCAGGGAAAAGGTGATCCTCCTCTAACAGATGTGAGCCTGCTGAAACAGGATTAATTAGATAGATTCTATTTATCAATTAGATACATTCTATTTATTACATGCACTTGTTTAAATAAGCCATCTCTAGCAACAAAGTTCTTAAAGCTAATGGTTATTGACAAAGCATCTCCAAGGTATCAGCTACAAAACACTTTCTCTTTCTAATGGTGAGACTATTTTAAAGGAAGGACATCTGCAAGTTCTGCCAGCTGGCAATTAAGAACCTGTATTTCTCTTCACGTGTGATCATGACAATGACTCTGTAAAATTTCATACAAAACAAGTTTCAGTATCTTTTCAATGTGTTTAAACATACTTTGGAAGTTGACTTAAGACATATTTCCCATTGATTTGAAACGCAAGAGATTAGAGAGACAGTATCTGACCCTGTGCATAAATGTATGTTTTGCACGCTGGATGTTCCTGGATGCCTGACATGTCTTAAGTAACGGTCTGAATCTTGCTGTCCTTTTATTATTTATGCTTATTATTTTATTTTTCTCATTGCGTAGTCTTCGATTTTAGCATTTTGTGATGTAGATTTTTTTTTGTTAGTAGACAAAAGACTACAATGCGGTTATGCTATACTATTTAGGATGAAAAATGAAACATTTTCTATTTTTCCTTCTTTAAATCAGTTAGAACTTCTGTTCTTATCAGTAAAATAATGAAAGAGTTCCACTGAAAGACAAAGAAAAAATTTATGCTGTTGCCTAATCTTAAAGTTGAAATGCAATCAAGAAATGTATTTCATCAGTCTGTAGGCAAAAACATATTTCCCTTAAACCATCACCTTAAAAATATTAGAAAGAAATTAAAGTTTATTTCAGATTAACAACATTGTCGCTACAGGAAACTTATAGAAAATATGATAAAGTGAGTTAGACATTTTGAATAAACACTGCAAAGTATATTCTCTGTATCTTTAATATATTTTTCTTGAGCCTTTTATATGCTCCCCTTTTAACACTTAGAAAACGATCAGCATTTTAGTCTTTTGTTAGTTAAAGATAAACCTTTGCTTCAAAGATTTAATGTACATTTACCTGATGTACATCACTAGAAAATAACCAAAATATGAAAGATTATCCCCTGTTTTTCCAATGGAATATTCTATATTTGATTTATAACTGGCTATTTCTTCTATAGCATCATTTCATGCATATATTTGAAATAATTCTCTTTTACAACATTTTCCTTTTCCTCATTGATCATAATTATTTTTCTATTTAAGAGATGTAAATGATGTAATGGTTTTGGACTGTGCAACAAATTCTCAAAGTTTTTTTCTCTGCAAAAAATTACCTGCCAAATGTAGTCCAACCCTGCAAAAAGAAATTTTTATTTTTAAAAGTAATATCTAATGCTGTGTTGTAGATAACAATGTTGACATATGTCTCAATCACTCTTTTATACCTATAAAACTCACTTTGATGCTTAATTATGTTTTTTAGCCCAACACAGTTGCTTTATCTCACTGTCCAGTAAGAGAACTTGCAGATTTAAAGCAAAACTGTTTTTCTTTGAATAGTTCTAATGCAGTAATGACCAAATGCAAAAGATACTTAATTGAATAATGGTCATTTTAAATTTCAAAATATTTGCGACAGTAGCAGAAAACCTGAAAGGTATTTGTTTATTATGGTAACTTTGCAATAGCACAATGTTGAATTTTGAGGTAAGTTGGTGAGATTCAAAAAGCAGGTCTCCTTCAAGGAAGGAATTAGGAAAATAGTTTAGACAAAACCCCAATGATCTTAAGCAGTTCTTAGTTAATTATTACATACTCGACACTCTATCTTTGATACCTCAGTTAAACAAAAAACTTTTTCCACATCCTGATGTATCACTCTAAGTCCTAGAACACAGATGAATAGTACTCTCCCCTTTGGGAACATTCCTGAAGAGCTAATTACAGTATGCCTGGAATAATATGAGAGGACCCCTAAAATTAAAGCAACTACTTTAATGAAAAGAATGAGATATTGGAGTGGAAGAAATAAATCTGATTTTGCTTTGAAAATGCCAAGGAAAAAAACTAGGCAGCAGGTCATGAGGACAGCAACAACAGTTTTTTAAAACTGAGAACACAGACTGTTTCATTAACATGTTCAAAAAACAGTTCTAAGAACAACAATTAAAACCAGTAAAAATTAACTTTACCCCAGAACACTTACTTCCTGAAAGATAGGACTGTTAAGTAAGTCATTTATAGTCTATTGAGCAAGTTCATGGGTTGTAAATAACAAAAATATATTCAAGGTGCCTATAAATTCCCTTAAATGTCTATATTCAATTTATATAGCAGTACAGAAAACTAAGTAATGTACATTACCACAACAGAAGCTGTAAAACTGCAATCCCAATTCCATTTTATTCCTTAAGCAAGGAACTTGTGTTTCTAGGGAATAGCTACCCCCATTTTCCTGGCTGACCTTACAAAAACATAGAGGAAACATGAAGTAACTGGAAAGAATAAAAAATACAAAGAAAAAAAAATACTTTTCAGTTTCTGTAAAGTAATTTTCAGTACTGAATCATCTAAGCCACATTCATTAATAATACCTTTTTCATTGTGGGAAGAAAGGGAAAAAATAGATTTCTAAGGTGAGACAAAATTCTTGATTACTTCTTAATGCAGTAATCAGCTTTCCACCCTACACAGAGTTGTACCAACAGAGCTGTGCACAGGCAAGTGTTTGTAAATTCTGGATCTTACACTCTCCCGTGACTGTTAAATACCCTCAGTGGGACTGGGTAACTTCTAGGGCACGCTAAAGGCCAGGATGCAATGACCTGATGCATGTCATCCCTGGGCTCTTATTCTGCAAACAGAATTGAGTTCTTCTTTCAGAGGGAAAGAAAACTCAGTAAATTCTGTAAGACTTCCTTCAGCATGAAGGAGAACACTAACTTTCTCCTCCTCATTGTTTTCATTCTGTTACATTAAGAAAATCTTCTGGTTCCAGGCAAAGTTAAGAGGATCTGAAAATATTTTGGAAGACTAGAGTGTTCTCAGTATTGCATTCCCGCACAAATGCTTCTCAAATGAAAAAACAAACCACTCTAAGGCTGAGAATAGACTACTAATAAAAGTTTAATTTCTAAGAGTTTTGACTATAGTCTATCCTCTTGCATCCTTAAAGAGCTTCAAAATAAAGGAAAAAAGAACAGTGCAATGAGATATCATTCTGGGCAGGTCTTTTCCATAAAAAAGTATATGTTAAATTATCAATCAAAATATCCAAAATGACCATGCATCTAGATTAACACTGATAGTTTATTCCCTTACCATTTCTACTTTAAAAAGGTATTTTAATTTATACTGCATCTCAGTTCCCTAAAACTCTGAAGCGTATTTGATACCTTGATCAATGAATCCACTACGGTGCATTAAAAATTTATTCAAATAATTCATAACTCTAAATATTTAGTTTTTTAAAAAATTGTGTGGAATTGTGTAGACCTGGATCAGTCTAGTCTCAACTGTCAGTAAGAACTTGTTTTTGTGGATTAATGCTGTAACCTCAGCAGCAAATCGTCTAGCTGGACAATGCCCCTCTGAGATACAAGATATTTTTGAAAATTAGATTCTAAATTTTTTTAATATTAGGTTTCCATTGAACAGATGATTTTCTGGTTTCCCTGTAATTAGCTGGGGCCAATTTTTCCTAATTGTTTCCTGTTCATCTCATTACTAGTGAAACAAGGATAGTTTGTGATCTCTCTTTCAGGAAGCCCTTTTTTTCCTAAGGAGATTCTCAAGACAGATTTGTAGATTTGCCAGCAGTGTTGCAGCTTTTGGGATTCTTTCTAAGTGCTTGCTAGCTCTGGTGGTGTGATGTAGCACCTGGGGAGCAGTTTGGCATTTCCTGTTGTCTTCCAGACCACTTTTTGCCTCTCGATTGTGTAAAAACTGAACAATCTCAGAAGTATTTTACACATGCCAGGTGCATTTCGGAACAAAAATACCAAATTTAGAAGACTTAAATGAAAACAACAATTTTTCTCTTTCTAGCCTTTAATCTTCATATGGATTAGGTGCTTTAATTTACCTAATTTAGGATTTCAGTCTACAAACAAGTTTTCAATTCAAGCATTTTTGGAAGCTCATTTTTCAGGGATTAGAAATGTTGGGAATCAGGTACCTTAGACATTAGAATTCCCCAAATCTGCCTTAAAATTTGAGGGGGGTGCAGGGGGAGGGAAATCAATAGAATCCCAGATTGAAAAACCTGTCAAATAAAGGAGTATCTGGTTTTGCCTAGATATAGACTGCTACAAACTATCCTTTAGTTTTTAAAGGATGAATGTTTTTTTGTATTTCAGCTTCACGAGAAAGCTTTTTAAAATGTAAAATCACACATGCTAAAAAAATCAAATGTACCTGAGGCCATGACTTGCAATTTCACTTTAGTTGGCGTGGCAACGCTGTACATTTTGCAAAAATCCAACTTTTGGATTTGAATATGATCAGGTCACAGAAGATTTTAAGACTAAAAGGAATCTTTGAATCTTGCAAAGACCTTTACCCCGACTTGAGCGAGGTGAGAGGCCGGCGGGCCCCAGCACTCCGCCATGCGCTCCCGCACTCCTCTAACTTCATTCATTTTACCCGAGCCACCTCCGCGCCTCCCAAAAGCCGCTGCCTCCAGGCTGATGGAGGAGAGAGCGGGCGAGCCCGAGGTACGGCGGGGCGCGGCGCGGCCATTTTATGGTCCCGGGGCCGGCAGCGCCGGCGGCTCCCGGGGCGGGCGGGCCGGGCCGGGCCGGGCAGCGCCGCTCGCGGGGGAGCGGCCGCCGCGCGCTCCTGCCCGCGCGCTCCTGCCTCGCCCTGCCGCGCTCGCGGGGGCGCGTGCGGCGGAGTCCCGGCCCGGCGCGCCTGCCCCGACGGGCACCAACGGGCCCCGCTGCGGCCGATCGCGGCGGGCGCGGAGGGAGGAGCGGGCGTGCTGCCGCCGCTTCCTCCTGCGCGGGGGCCGGAAGGCAGCGCGGCCCGGCAGCGGCAGAGGGCCGGGCCTCGGCGGTAGTGCCGCCGTTGCGGGTCAGCCACCCAGCCTTCCGCAGTGGGGGCGGGCAGGCCGGGGGAAGGGCCGGGCCCCGCCGCCGCGCTGGGCGATGGAGTGAGGGAGCGCTGCGCGGCAGCGGGAAGATGGCCGGTGGTGGCGGCGGCGGCGGCTGCAGAGACAGCTTGTTTCTGGAAGGTGCGTGCAAGGCTGCGAGGAGGGAAATGTGGCCCGCGAGCCGCGTTTCCCTTCTGGCGACCAGTAAAGGGGCACGGCACAGACTGGGGAATGGGGGAGGCGGGCGTGTGAGTTCATGTGGGGTGGGGGTTATGGGTCCCCTTTGGGTGCGACGACAATGAGAGGTGGCTTCGCGGTGGGGGAAGGGTGGCTGGCGTGGTTGGGTCTGGTTAAAAGAGACCTGCTTTTGAGGGAGGGCTTAGTGAGGGCGATTTGGTTAATTTTTCTTTATTCCTTCTTTCTTTCTTTTACTGTTCCGAGAGGTTGGGAGTGCGGTGTTCCTTTCCTTTGTCGGGCAGCGCCGAGAGCAGCCCGGGCTCGGTGCAGCGGCAGGAGCGAGCCGCGGCTCGGCGGGCGGTGGGCTGGGGCGGCGGGCAGGGTTAGCGCCGGGTGAGAGGGGAGGCCGGGGCTGTGCTGCCCTGCCCTCGGTCCGCTCCCAGGCCCCGGCCTAGCCCGTAGTCTTTGGCCCCACCATAAAATGAGTCTTCGCCTGCTCCTAAAAGGCTCCTGTAAAGGTTTGGGACTGAGTTTAATTTTGTGAGGAGGGTAATGCTTATAATTATGATACATACGAAGGGGATGATGAGCCTTATTACCTGCATTTGAAAGAAACCTTTTGCGTTTGTAAAGCTGCTTGCTTTTTTTTTTTTTTTTTTTGTTATACGGTTTTGATGTCTTGAGGGGTTTTTTGTTTGTCACTATAAAGCTTTTAATTATAATGCAAAAAGTCTCCTGAAATTGGGATATTTTTAAACTTGAGTCTTTGCTGTTTCTTTGATACATCAGAAAATTTACTATTGTAGTCTTGCAAAATTGCTCTAAGCACATGTCCTGATGGCAAAGACCAGTAGTCTGGTAAATTCTGCCAAATTACCATGATGATAACAAAGAAAAATTAATGGATTTAAGTAGTCCTCCTAAGCAGAGTTTTCCAAGTCAGGAATTAGTTTAGCATGGGAAATTTACAGTACCTGTATTGCACAGAACATAACTTCTTGCAGATTTTCTCTTGCTGCAGGGTATTATATATTGGCTTTTTATTACAAGATATTCTGGAATAGACGTACTGCGTGGACAAAATACTGCTTGTTGTTTTGAATAATTAATCTGGAATTTTGATGTTCAGAAACTCTGGTTAATAACAGCTGTCATGTTGCCTCCCGTATACCTTTAAAGGATTTGGTGGTGAAATGCAGACACTCCATATTTTCCCTGGAGTCTCCAAAGACTGTGGTGAGGTTTGCGCATAATGCTAAAAGTGTCAAGGTGATGACTAGTTACTGTCTTCTGTGTGCACCTTGAGTACTTGCTGGCTGGTCAAGTGGCTGAGGGAATATGCATTTCATATGCAATATCCACACTTCTTTTGGTTATGAATTCTCTTTCCAACAGCAGGAGCAACACAACTGGATAGCATCTCCATTTGGAGCTTCAGTGTTCCACGATGGATGAACTGAGTTATCAGCTGGTTTTATGTTTCGCCATTATTTGGGGACACGTTCATTTTAGGACTGATGATGTGATAGAAATCCTAAGAGTGCAGTCACATGTGAAGAAAATCTAGTGTAGATAGTGGTGACAAAAATTTATGGGGGTGGCCCAAGTCCAAATGGGACAGTTATACTTGGGCAGATTTAGTAAGAGCTGGTAAAATCGGTACTGATTTGAAGCAAAGGGAAAAGACTTTCAGATGTTATTTGATAGGTACTTATTAGAGATATTTATAGAAAAAGTACAGTCATAGAATATCTATAAATATGTATATATACAGGAGTTTTTTGCAATCTGCAGTCTGGAAAGGTAGCATATTAGATCAACCTAATGATGTTAGAAGCACCATTACCCTAAGGCCAGACAAGCAGGAGAGTGCCAGATTTGTGAAACAAGTATAGTGGGGACAAAAAAGGGGATTGAAGTGGGTGGAGTAGGAGATATGGCAACTTCTATTGCCAGATGATGGTTATTAATACATGAGCCTAGAGCTGTATCTATAACTTGTCTGAGTGTGTATATTTAATGGAGTCCTTTGAAGGCTGTGTAAGCAACAACCAAAAATTGTTTACTTAATGTTTTCAGAGGTGTTTTCTCAAAGACTGGCTAAGGGAGGGAGTTAGGACTCCTCCTCATCCCTGCCTTAAATGTGCACAATAGAAGTCTGGGCGAAATGGATGTTAGCTCTATCACCAGTTAAACTCACTCTAATGGACACTGTGCTGGTTAAATATGTACCTTTGTGTGTGTGTATGCATACATGTACGCAGACATTTCTGGTGCTGTCCTGCTTATGTTGACAATCAGTCAGATTTAAGATAAATGTACAGTTAAGTGAAATAAATTACTTTTCAGTATGACAGTTGTTCAGAATTTTGGTTTTGATTCCACGTGTCCGGTGAGATACTGCTTTTCTTTCATTTAGTGTAACAGATGTTACTGTGAAGAAATATGTCTGTGATTCTACTATAAAAATGCTTCCTCTTAACATTTTTATTATTCTGTTCTCCAGTAAAAACAAAATGGTCTTTCTGGAAGGGTGTTCCTTGAATGATTGATTTGTTGCCTTTCTGGTAATACCATTCTTGAACATAGTGATTAATGTTTTTTGTCCAGTTCTGTGTATCTGATGTGCATAATTTTTTATGCTGTATTATATAGACTGTTTAATGGAAATGTGAAAAAGATCCCTAGGACTATAATGGACTCTTTTTAAAGCTGCATTTGTTATTCTGAAGCTGTGATAATAGTTGATCACATATACTTGGATATACAGGGCCTGCATGATTATTTCACTTGAAGTGCCAGGACTGTTAGAAGTGTGGATAGTACTCTATTTTTGTTATTTAATCTAGATGTAATTGAAATTAGTAAAACTGTTCTGAATTTGCTTTTTTAAAGTGATGTTTCAAAGTTATGGGCTGAACATGCAGAAATTTGCACTAACAAAGCATTTCTCTTACATGGGAATTCTTGCCGGCGGTGGAGGAGGAGAAGTTTAGTGATTAGAATTTTGTGTCTGCAGCAGTTCCTGTGTTTTTAAATTGATAGTCACATCTAAAATATAAAGAATGGTAGGCAAACTCATTTGGACTTAAGGAAGGAGGCATGTTAAACATGTGGGAATGGGGAGTACTGTTGATCATTACCTTAGAGAAAAATTGCAGGAACTCTTGTTTTCTGCCTCCTTCACTATTACTGAATTGCAAGGAAATTGTAATTTCTCTTTCCAACATGAAATTTAAAGTTTACTGCTGTTTATGCAGTAGATAGTAGGTAAACTTCAAAATATTTTCCAGAAGAATGGTGAAATGTATTATTCTTTCCTGTTATTTATTTCAGTCTCCTGGTGCTTACAGTAATGATGCAGAGAACCAGTATTGAATTTTCTTTTTGAGGACCTCCTTTCTAAGGAATATTGCCAGTCCCTAGCTTCAGAGCTGTTGAGATATTTCAGTGCAGCCATGGCAGGAATTTGCTCAACTTTCTTTCCAATTTCTTGGCTACAGATTTCGTAATAACAGTAAACAAAACTATGTGGTCTACCTGTTAGCAGAAGTAGTATAAACTTCACAGTTGTCTGCCAGAGGACTCCAGAAGACTGCTTTGTTCTTCCTTCAATTCACATGTAAAGAATTGTCTTCACCAAAGCAAGAGTTGTAGACTTATGTGTTTTCTTAAAGGTAGCTGAGATTCTGGGGTGGTACAGAAACATGCAGCTTTTGTGCATTAGTATAGAGTTACAGACCTACCTTTTGAAGTGGTGGTAAGCCCCTCCTCTCTTTTTTTGTTTCTGTTTTTAATCATACTGAGAAATCTCTGACTGGCATAATACAAATTAGGAGGGTAGGGTGGCATTTATATTCAGGTAAAACACTTGAAACTACCTGCCAGACTTTTCTACCTGCAAGACTCTTTATTTTTCTCTTAACAGTGAAATTTAATTATTAATTGTTTTAATTGTTACTAATAAGTCTCTGGTGCTTTGTGATCTAATGGAGATTGTGATTAGCTTGAAAATGTGGGAAAGAGTTGTTTCAGCTATCATTGATCTTCTGTGTCTATATGAACTCCTGCTTTATCCTGTTGAATTCTTCTCTGGTTTACATATGTTCCCTCAATGTTCAGACAAATTCTGTTTCTTCTGGTTTTCTTGAGAGTGGTTGGTTTTGGTTTTTTCGGTTGGTTTTTTTTTTTTTTTTTTTTTTTTTAATGAGAAAGTGTGAAGTTTGTGATTGCATAGCTTGTTTATATATCCCAGTCCTTTGACCCATTCAGATTTTTTTTTCCAGCACTGCACATGGATCTTCTTAGACTTGAAGAATGTTCAGCTGTCCTGTCCAGTGGTTTTGAGAATAGGAGACCTTCTGACTTGAGTAACAGGTTGCTTTCCATGAATGAAACTTGCTTGCTGAGAACTATTTCTCAAAAAAGTCAAATTGAAAACATTTCTTACTGTCTTTTTTTTTAATATATGCCAGACTAACTTGGCTTGATAGGTGGCTTGAA